CTCCTACATCAAATGCTGGATGTACATCGCGGACAACAACGACGAGTTCGTGTGCGTCCGCGACATCCAGTACAATGAGTGGTTCCGCCACTGGATCCCGAGGACTCCTTGGGAGACCTTCAGGACGAGCTACGTGTCGTACGATGGCCACAGGATGCGGGGCCGCAGGTTCTACGAGAGGGGCAACGCGTAGCAGGGTCGGCCGCCAGGCCCGCCGCTCGAAAGGCTTGAACTTCATCATTATACAAGTTCGCCTTGAGCGGTGGCTATTCTATTCTTTTAGGCCACTTCACTATCCAAGACAAGTGGCCACACACACATGTTCTTGCGATAACCAAGGCAGCCTCCTAAGGGGCAGCGCCAACGGGAGTCGCCAACTACAGAATTTATACATATGCAACTTTTTCGTGTTATTAACGCGACTTTGCGTCTGGCCAGACATTTGCTTTGATTTTTAGACGTGTTTCTAAACGCGATCGTGTTCATCAACACGACCTCAGAATACATTTTTTCGTTTACTCTTTAGACCTTGCTTACACTTCGTTGAGAATGATCTGGCGCCCAGCTCTCGACAGAGAGCTGGTGGCAACACCTGCCCCGCTTAGGCGCGGCAGCTTCTGATGTTGCTTTAACTGGCTCAGATCCTCTTTCTCCGCCCACCCGTGTTTCATTCTTCTCCGCCCTCGAGTGCCGAAGCGTTTTTGGGGGGCGCACCGAGGGGGCACCAAAGCGTGCTTGGCGAAGAAATCGGGGCCCAGGGTGTTCCTTCTTACCTTGCCTTGCAGCTGAGGCTATACAGATTTGCGCTCAGCTGCCTGACAGACTTGAGGATTGAAGGAGTAAAAAGGGTGACGGATTCTTTTCCTTTGTTCCCGAGTCCTACCCTCGCGGGCGGGATTCGGGACGGGGTGTGTGAATAGAACCCGTGTAGTACCCTCATATATACTCCTTATCCTCACCTCTCCTGCGCCTGGCCGTTTGGCTCAAGGTATTGGGACAGATCGATCAGACCTTTGGTCGTGCAGGAGGGAAAGACATCCATCTATCCCTCCTTCCCTCTACCGGCGGATCAGGGGTTCTGTGCCCTTGTACTTCAACCCCATTCACAAAAGGTGGACGTGTGCCGGGGCCGCGGGAGGGGGGAGGAGGAGGAGGAGGAGGAGGAGGAGGAAAAGGACGAGGAGGAGGAGGAGGAGGAGGAGGAGGAGGAGGAGGCGGAGGAGGAGGAGGAGGGGGAGGGGGAGGGGGAGGAGGGGGAGGAGGGGGGGGAGGGCAAGCTAGGTGCGCTCGCGTCATATCTGACGTCCTACCCCTCCCTCCCATCCCTTACCATGGCGCTGATTTTCTCTATCCGCGGACGCGTGTCGTAGCGGACCTGTGGCTCCGCGCGCGCGTGCGTAGTGGGTGGTGGTGCACGTGTGCGTGCGTGCGTGCGTGTGTGCGTGGTTGTGGTGGTGGTGGTGTGGTGGTGGTTGGTGGTGGTGGTGCTGGTGGTGCTGGTGGTGGTGGTGGTGGTGGGTGTGGTGGTGCTGGTGGTGGGTGGTGGTGGTGGGTGGTGGTGGCGGTGCGGCGCGGTGGTGGCGGGCGGATGGGCGCGCGAGAAAAAGGCCCGCACTGGGGCGAGAACGCCATCCTGAACGACGGAGGCCAAACACCGATCCGAAAATGAGGCCCACGCTGCAGCGGGAGCACGATTCGGAACGATTCGGGAGCAGAAATGAGGCCGGCGCCTCAACGAGAGCAGCATTTTGGGAAAAAATGACGCCGGCGCCTCAGCGAGACTCGTTTCCCGGGATTTCCCAGGAATCCTGTGTTTAAAAAAACAGTACGCGGAGGGTGCGCGGCCATCACCCGGACGCCATCAGGGGAAGAGGGAAAGTATTTTCATATTGAGTAATTGTGGAGGAGGGGGAGGAGGGGGGGAGGGGGAGGGGGGAGGAGGAGGCGGAGGAGGAGGAGGAGAGGAGGAGGATGAGGAGGAGGGAGGAGGAGGAGGAGGAGGCGGACGGAGGAGGAGGAGGAGGAGGAGGAGGAGGAGGGAGGAGGAGCGGAGGAGGAGGAGGAGGAGGAGGAGGAGGAGGAGGAGGAGGAGGAGGAGGAGGAGGAGGAGGAGGAGGAGGAGGAGGAGGAGGAGAGGAGGAGGAGGAGGAGGAGGAGGAGGAGGAGGAGGAGGAGGAGGAGGAGGAGGAGGAGGAGGAGGGAGGAGGGAGGATGAGGAGGAGGAGGAGGAGGAGAGGAGGAGGATGAGGAGGAGGAGGAGGAGGAGGAGGAGGAGGCGGAGGAGGAGGAGGAGGAGGAGGAGGATGAGGAGGAGGAGGAGGAGGAGGAGGAGGAGGAGGAGGAAGAGGAGGAGGAGGAGGAGGAGGAGGAGGAGGAGGAGGAGGAGGAGGAGGAGGAGGAGGAGGAGGAGGAGGAGGAGGAGGAGGAGGAGGAGGGGAGCCGACTGGTCAGTTGGATGTTCGACGCGCCAACGGCGCGCAGCAACAGAAATCTGAGGCCCGCGTAGCCGATCTGGGGTTGACCAGCTTACTGCGCCCAGTTGCGAAGGATGTCGAATCGTGAGAGGAGGTTGTCGATGCGCTCTAGCGGCAGTCTGTTGAAACTCATATGTGCTGGCGCTGCTGAAGTGCACTCCTCCGCGCCCAGTCGGCCACGCCGTGCGGCCAAAGTGCGCATCAGGAAAGTCAGCGGTGGTACTGGGTTGCCGTTGATGAGACCTCCCTGGATCAGGACAGCTGGCGGCCATTTATCCTCGTACCCGCGTGCCGTGCCGGTGAGGCGCGACGAGGCATGGGCCGCCTGGCGAGACTCGTTCAGGTCTGAGTTCGCCACTGGCCCGATCCTTTCCTCCCGCGCCCACTTCTGGAAAACACGCGAGCTTGCTGCTCGGGCTTCCAGGTGCGGAGGCGTCGCATGCTGCCGCTGCCTCCGCCTGCGTCCATGCTGGAGATGCAGCTGGTGACGGCAATCATGCCCACTCCGATGGCCATCCGTCCGGAGTGTAGATCCCTCCGCGCGTCGTAGAGGCGGCGCTGGCGGCCAGAGATCCACCGGCGGCGCTGCTCGGGGAGTATGCCTCCGAGCCGCCGTGGATACTTGCCCAGGATGTGCTCCTCCTCGTCTGCGGATTGGGCGCGTGCTTCCGTCGCGTGCTTGCGGTGCTCTCGGTGCTCGGAGCATCCCGTGACGCTGACAGGGGCGTGCTCCTCGTGCGTCGTGCGGTCATTGTGCTGAACGCCGCCAACTGCGCGATCGTTAAGTGGAGTGCGCACCGGGGACCAGTCCTGCCAGTCTGCAGGGGATCAATGGGTAAGGCGAATACCTCCTCGCTCTTCTCTGCCTTCTCCCGCTGGGGCTTTCGCGACGCAATCGCCAGTAGCTCGGGGCCCTTTTCTGGCGCCCTGGACGTGGACGTTGCGTCGAGCAACTGTTTGACATTTGCGGTTGCGCCCGCGGGCGGGTGCATTGACGGCGCGGGGCCCACGAGTTACGCTGACGTAGTCAGCGCGAGCCCGGCAGGGATCGCTGAGAGCCCCGGCGCGCGGCGGGGGCCCCTGTAGGTTTCGTGCCGATCGAGATAGGTGTTCGTTTTTCCCGTCGCCGGCCCTGGTGGATGGGCGGGCGCCCCGACGGGCCCGAGAGCGACGACCTCTCGAGCCGCTGCGGACGGGGCGAAGGCGATGAGAGCGAATGTCTAGCGAGATGGCCAGCTGGATGTAGAGCGGCACGATGTAGAGCGGTGCGGAGGTGGAACCCGAGGCGAGAACGCTGCTGGGGTATTGGTGCCGAAGCTCCGCTACCAACGTGGGACATGGGATGTAGAGAAAGACATGTGATATCCGCGCGCGGACGCGATGAGCGGTGAAGCGGGTCTCAAAGCGAGTTTAAGAACGGGCGCGTTGGGATGCATCCTTTGAGCCCAAACGGTGGAGGATCCAAGACAGCTGACATAAGCAAGGCGGGGGGTTAGAAGAGGCCGGAAGGGCCCCGCTCGAGTCGTCCCACCTGGGCGCCACTACCTTGGACGAGGCGAGCTTCGGAGAGTTCAGCTGGGCGAGTTGAGCCGGGGCAAGTTCAGCTGGGCGAGCTGAGTGGGGGCGAGTTCGGCCGGGCAAGTTGGGCCAGGGCGAATTGAGCGCGAAGCGAGTTCAGGTGGGCGATTTCCCATTCCCCCAAGAAGGCCAGTACCAGGGCGAGCCCGGGCGAGCTCAGCCGGGCGAGTTTCAGCCAGGGCGAGTTCAGACGGGCGAGTTTATTTAGTCGGGGCGAGTTCAGCCGGGCGAGCCGAGCCAGGGCGAGCTTAGCCGGGCGAGTTGAGTGCTGGGCGAGTTCAGCTGGCGCGAGTTGAATGCGGTGCGAGTTCAGACTGGTCGAGAATGGGCGAGTTGAGTGCTGGGCGAGTTCAGCCGGGCGAGTTGAGCCGTGGCGAGTTCGCCCAGGCGAGTTAGGTTGCTGCCCTCTTTGGCCTTCTTGGGGCCCTCGTGGGAGTCTTTGCGGCTTTCTTGCGGCCGTCTTGCGGGACATCGATCGGGCCCCTCCCTCTCGCCGCTTCCCCCACTCCAGGATTGTCTTGTCTCCCACATCACCGCCCCCTTCCCCGAGGAAAAAAAAACGAAACAACCCCGAGGGGGGAAACTAACATTTCGAGGGAACAAGCAAACTTCGAAAGGGAGAAAAAGACGAGGGCCACTGGATGGAATCAACAGTTTGAGAGGGGGAGACACTTTCGCCGTTGCCTCCCGTTGCCACTTCGTTGCAGCTTCTAGATTGCACCCCGTACGCTGCATATAGTTCGCAACACATAGCTTGCACCACATAGCTTGCACATCCGCACTGCAACAAACTTAGTTTGGGGTCCACGCTGGTGAACATCCCAATGTATTCAATGTGTGGGCCTCATCGGCGAAAATGGGCTTCGTTTTTGCGCGGTTACGGAGCGCTGTGTCCATTGACTCGCCCGTGCTACGGCAGGGGCCCAGGCAGACAAAACGAATCTGCAGCAGCACCCTTCAGTAGGGGCTTCTTACCCATTGTCCTCCACATTTTCTGCGTCGTTCCCGTTCTCCCCTCCGTAGCCATTTAGGCTAAAGGCCCTCGCTCGTCAAGGCGGTTAGCACTGGCGGAGCGTGCGGCCACGCGTATGTCTCACCGCAGCGCGCGGTGCGCCCCAGACCGCCCCCCGTCGGCGCACGACCGCTGGTTGTTGGACGATGCGGTTCGCTCCATCAAGACGTCGTTCCGCAACCTAGACCGCAGCAAGGCCAAACTGGATGTGAGCATGGCCCGGGCCCGGACGCACCTCGCGACTCACCTGATCAAAGCCAGCGCGAAGGGCCAACCTCCTGCCAGCGGGGCCCGCCCTCACGCGGGCGACGCCATCGCGCGGGCGGCGCTGCTGTGCGGCCGTGCGGGCCACACCCGCGGGGTGGAGGACCACGGGCTGCACGCGCGCGTCCAGCGGTGCGGCGGACCTGACGGCACCGCTGGCTGGGGCCGCCGCGTAGGCCTGGCCAGCCCAGTGGCTGCCGGGCCAGATGGCGGTCGGGACCAAAGCGACGGCACGGAGAGCTGCTGCAGTAGCTCGAGCAGCTGCAGCGGGGGCTCCTCGGAGGACGCGGCTGCTATCCTGGCGGCGCTCCACGCCGCCGCCGAGGCGCCCGCCCCCGCGGGGCCGCCGCACGAGCAGCAGCCGCCGCGGGCGTTGAAGCGAGGAAACACCTCGGGGGCCTCGACCAGCCGGGGGCTGACAGCCCAGGGGAGCGACGCGGGTACCGCAGGCGTTGCGCGTTCTGGGTCGCAGACCGCCTGGCGACCTTCATTTCAACCCGTTGTGCCAAGACTGAGCGTCGCCGAGGCGGTGGGCGGCGCTCAGAGGCCTACGACTCCCACGCCCCGCTTCGAGGTGTGCCAGAGGCCGAACCGCCCCTTCAGCGCGGCGCGCGTGCGTGCCTTCCAGGAGGCCGGCGGCGGTCACACGGGACCCGCGGCGGAGGGCGCCAAGGCTCGCCCGCGGAGCGCCATGCTGGCGCGCCAGTGGACCCGAGCCGTGCACGGGGTGGTGCCGGAGACCGCGTTGCCTGGCACAGCGTCCCACGGCGTCGTGCCGCCGCCCACGGCCGGCGTCGCGCGCGGCGCAGGGACCTCTGCCGACGTGCGCCCAGCCCTGGCAGAGGCAGATCGGCCGCCGCGGCCCCGCAGCGCCTTCGCCCCGATCCAGCGGCGGCAGCCGCAGGGTGCCCAGCGCTGCCGGCCGCCGGTGGCGCCATGTGGCGAGCCGCAGGCCCGGTGGCTGTCCCTGGAGCAGCCAGGCGCGGCCGCCGAGGGCGGGCCCCGGACGGCGCGGAGGCGGAGCACCGGAGCGTGAGAGCGTGCTATGTACCATGGGCAACGACAGGGGGTGGGCTCGCCAAAGAGGAGGAACATCGACCCCACAGCGCCCATTAACCGCCGATCGGGGCCCTGGGCCCCCTCTCCCGCCCAGGAAGGTGCGGATTCGGTATTGAGGGCCTATCGCCGATCTGTCGGCGATACATCGCCGATTCCAAGCAAATGCTTCCCCCCTGAGTCAGTCTCCCCCTATCGTTCCCCCTCCTCGCTGGTAGGGCGGCAGCGAAGACCTTGCACTCTTGAGTCAGGGCTGTCCGTCCCTCGATAATTCTGGTGATGGGGCTGTGGCGAGAAGTGGTCTGTGCCCGAATCGCGGTCGAAGCTGTACAGGTGCCGCTTTTGCAACTCTGCACGGCCACGCGAAGCGCGCCAGGGAACTTGTTCTGGCAGCGGCGTGGACATGAATCCTTGATCCGCAGACGCGTACTTGACACTGCACTGCAAGTGGCGTCATCCTCTCTTCTTCTCCCCCTCCTGAACGCCGATCTCTATAGGCCGTGGTACCCCGGGGGGCGAAGCTTTGCCTCCTGCAGGCGGCGTCTGCCGCCTGGAGCGGCGATCTTGACGATGGTTCGCTGGCGGCCGAACGAGGGAGGGGTTTACTCCGAGGTCCGAGGCGGGGAGGAGAGGAGGACGGAGGAAGGACACCTCTGAGTCGGGACACGCGAGTAGGGAAGGCCTTCCCTAGCCGGAGAAGCCCAGCCCTATCTTTCGGTGTGGAGGGTAGCGCGAAGGATGCAGTGGCAACGTTGGGCTCTCTGATCTATTTGCTTGACCTTGGGCTCCTGGAAGCCCTCCTGCTTGTCGATGTTGGCCTCCTGCAGGGTCCCGCAGGGACCTATCTGTCCGAGGGCGGCGCGGCCGCCGGGGGGTCGAGCGCGTGGCGGCCGACGTCGACCTTTCCAAGCCGATGCGACTCAAGGCCTGATCCAGTATGGCGGCGGACGAGCGCACGGGGCGCCGGGCCAGGAGGGAGAGGAGAGGACATGGGGGAAGGGCTCAGGCACAAGTGGTGAGGCCCTTGAGGGGCCTGAAGGGGCACACCAGCGCCCAGCACGGACCCCGGACCAACAGGAAAGGACCGGGACAAAAAAGCACTTATGCAAGCCGCGTCAGCTTCACGCGCAAGAGCTCCAAAACGTTGAACCCTCTGGTCCCGGGAGGGGCTCGCCGAGCCTCCGTGGGGCCTCTCAGGCTTCTCAGACTCCGACTCCCGTTCTCGCCTGCGGGCTCAGTCCGCCTGCAGTGTCGGGCTCACAGAGCCCGTCAGTGGGAAATCGCGTAGCGGTGTGGATTCCAGCCTTTCGAAGTATTTCGTCAGCGGGTCCACTATCATGGTGTTTGGTGCTGGTCCGCAGCAGGTTCTCGTCCTCTAAGTACTGGCGTATATCGTAGATGTCCAGCGCGATCTGGCGCTCTGAGGGGACGCTACCCTCCTTGTGTAGACTGTCGTACAGGCTCTTGCAGGCCACCCATGAGGAATATGCTGTATGTCCGTCATCCAGTCAGCTGTCCAGTTGCCAAGTAGGTATGCCAGAATCGCACGTACGTAGACATTCATGTCGTATCCAGTCACCAGTGCTGCTGCTTCGGCGGCCAGAGTAGACCGCACTACTCGATGGGTCTTAGTCGAACCCCGTGTCACGGGGGATGCAGGGAAGCTGTCGCCGAATATCAGTCGTCGATCGCTGAGCAGTGCTGCTGGCTGCCTCCGCGAGGTTGTCGGTCAAACCTGGTATTTGTGTAGAGACCAGTCGTTATTCTGCCAGTTTCCTTCCACGGATGAACTTCATGGCCAGCTGCTTGGATCGTTCTTGGAGGTCGCATAGTACCGAGTTGGCCCTGACACGTGTGCTGACCGTATGCTCTGGAACTCACTGCTAGAGGTCCGACACGTCGTAGGCAAACTCGGGAAAGGCCTCCCGCGCAGGCCAGGACAACTCTCCAATAATCAGTCGTAGCGATGAGATCCCCCCTTCGAGAGTGGTGCGTCTGGTTTCTGGCGTCGCACTTTCGTTAGGAACACAGGCTTGATATTCCGCACTGCCTCTTCCATGGTGACATGGATCTCGCCATTGGACTGATGTACGATACGTCGCTTCAGGAGTATGAAGTCGTCGGTGTGGAATGATGGCGTCGTCCGTGTGCACGCACAGGAGCCTACATAGCTAACCGTCGTACTTCAGGAAGAGTAAACACGGGCACCAAGGTACTTGTTCAGCTCCAGCCGTCTTCGCTCTCTCGATAATTTCCAAATGGCACAGCCTCGGCGCCTCAGGAATAGCAAATGAACCATCAGGGCCCGTATCAGGCATCCGCTCGGTAGGCCAGGAACTCCGTCAGGTGGCGGTCGGAAGTAGACTTTCTGCTCCATGTGACGTCCTGTAAGAAAAGCCACCTCCACGTCGAACGAATCGAGATGCCAGCACAGTCAGCCCAGCTGTCGGACTGTCTGTTCACGCTTCACCTGGTGAATCCCTTCTGTAGCAGATGGCCTGGCAAGACTAGTCTCGAATTCGCTTCCAGGCCACCTCCTTCTGGTGCTTTGTTGGTGGTTAAGGGTGGTTCAAGGTGAGGCTCAAGGGTGGCTCGAGACCATTTCTTTATTGCTTGGGGCATGACGGGCGTCATGGCCCCCGCTCCCCCCTCCCCCCCTACGACGTAACGCCCCCCCCCCCCCCAGTGCGCTCCGGGCACTGCCGCCGTGCGCGCTGGGATCCGCGTAAGTGTCCGCGCAGGAATCCGCATAGGAGTCTGGTCCGCAGTCGTCGTTGTCGTCGTCGTCGTCGTCGCCGTTGTCGTCGTTATCGCTCGTGGCTCGTCGCTCATCGTCGTCGTGCGCGCGGACGCGGCTGGATCCTGTTATTTGTTCCGGGCCGATCACGGCAATCATTTGAGGGGGTGTGGAGGGTGTCGATGACATCATGTTTCGCGCCGTCGGCGTCTGGTAATGCCTAGGAATGACCGAGGACGGGTAGCACCAGCATGTAGGTGGCGATTTGCACCACAACGCCTGTGTACACCACAGTGCCTGCGTGCACCACAGCGCCTGTGTACACCACACCGCCTACGTACATCACGGCAGCCGCGTGCAACACAGCGTCAGTTTGTGCCACCGTGCTCGCGGGCACAACAGCTGTTGTGTACACCGCAGCGCCTGCGTACACCACATCAGCCGTGTGCAACACAGCACAAGTGCACACCGTAATGCCTGCGTGCATTGCAGTGCCTGTGTACACCACGGTGCTTGTGTGCACCGCAACCGTGTGCAACACAGCGCCACACTTGCATATATAATGTTAGAAGGGATATTTATGAGAAAATGGAGCGTTTATGGATTCCACAAAAACAATACAAAGGAATCCTTATGGACAAAAGAGCGCCGCTGGAATCTTCGAGTTCTCCCGAGTCCGCCCGCATCACCCTAACTTATCCCATCTGCGTCCAGGAGGCTCCAGCTCAATTGACTGTGCGAGAACCAAGTGGACCGATTCAGTAGACCATTATGCGGTGCACTGCACGCTGAATTGCGCACGTGCGCTGTAGCGCCACCCCGCATGACAGGGAGTAAGGAGGAGGAAGAGGAGGAGGAGGAGGAGGAGGAGGAGGAGGAGGAGGAAGAGGAGGAGCAGGAAAAGGAGGAAGAGGAGGAGGAGGAGGAGGAGGAGGAGGAGGAGGAGGAGGAGGAGGAGGAGGAGGAGGAGGAGGAGGAGAAGGAGGTGGAGGTGGAGGTGGAGGTGGAGGAGGTGGTGGTGGGACGCAGGCATGGCGGGGTACCGCGAGCTCTCGTCTGCACTGCCTCCTACCCCTCCAGACCTGTGGGAGGGAGCGGGCAGCGGTGGATGGGGCCTGGCCTCGAAGAAGCCAGAAAAGGAGATGGCGCCTGACCAGGGCGCACGCCGTCTGTGCGCCTCGGCCCTCTTGGCCTCGCGGCGGCGGCGGGCCTCGGCGCGCTTGGCAGCGATGAGGTCCAGCTGCTCTCCCGTGAGGGGGGGCGGCCGCGGGGGCGAGGGAGGGGGAGGCGGCAGGGGGGCGGCGGAGGGAGCGGGGGAGGAAGGAGGACCAAACAGAGCAAAAGCTTCTGACTCCTCATCCGAACCAGGGGGCACGAATTGCTGCGGCTCAGAAGCAGGAGTCGGATCACACCCACAAGCATCCGGCGTCGGAGGATCGGGTTCCATTGGGTCCTTGAGAAACCTGTGGATCTCCGGATCGGCACGTGAAAATTCCTCCTGCTTCTTATTCCTGTGCACATAGTCAGGCGCAGGAGCGAACTCATCATCGATGTGTGGCATGTAAAACTGTCGAAGGTCATCGATGAGGGCAGGGTCTAGATCTTCGCACACGATGTCTGCATCGTTGACGTGCGCATATATCCTGGAAATGAAAGCAGCGATCGATGCAGCCATTTTGTTACACATCTCCGAGGGGTACGTCTTTTTGGCATGGGTTCGGAATTGTGGGGCCCCTCCCTTTCCGTCCGTCTCCTCGCCACGCAAAATCTTGTGAGCCCCTTTGGGATGATGACACCATCCCTTCCTCGGAGTATCTGTCAACCTGCAGGCGAGGCATTCCATGCGCAAGCCCAGGAGCCGTGTGGGCGCACGCCCGTATTCACAGGCGCAACGTGTGGCTGGCTGGTGCACGCACTGATCAAAATCTGCTGTGACAACGTTGGGTGCTGACGCGAGCGCTGCAAGGGACTCCCATTGGAAGCTGCTGGGAGCCTGGGAGCGCCAGCAGGGGGGAATGGGATGCTCCATCCACCCCGAGGTCCCCGCTGTGACATGGCAGCCCAAGAGGTACACCAAGTTTTGCAAGAGCGTATTGCCTACCTTGAGCTGCTGTGCCTGTCTGTCGGTAGCCCAGGGGACACCCCAATACCAGTCGTGAGTACGTATGGGGGGGGCCCGTCCAGCCATCTGGCCGCACTCCATGTTTCACAGGGGCACCCCACCGTATTCCAAACACGTCTTGATAGGATGTGATCCCCCCACTGTCGGATAGTAGTGGCCTGTGTAAGATCCCCTTGGGTAGGATTGATTGCAATGTCCACACTCAGCATACATACCTGCAAGTCCCTGTGTGTGTACATGCCGTCCAGCCAGTACTGTATGTCACCCTGCCTTCTCTTGCCCGAAAATAAATTCAAAATGAGCACTTCAGCTCGATGGATGCGGCAGGGCCGCCATCCCTTGAAAGTCGTGAGATCTGTATTTGTAGTGTCGGTCCATATAGAGAGGCTGGTCCTGGGTGGGCTCCTCGGGGGCGTCGTCGAAGAGGGCCTGATAGGCTGGGAGAGTGTCGGGACTGATTTCGTAGGCTGCCTGCTGGAGTAGGGTCCTGGCCTCAGCTGCGCTGAAAGTGGCGGCTGCCAGCATGGCTGACGGGTAGAGCCCGTCTTCTGGGTACTGCACTGATGCTGGGAAAGCTGCTCTCCAGCGTCCTAGTCCTGACTTTCTCTGGGCTGCATGACTGACTGCATCTGCTAGGCGCAGTTCCTCGGCTCTGTCCGGGGATACTGCAGCTCCATGCATCATGTACGCTAACTGGCATAATGGAGCATC